CATGGAAGGGGGAACAGAGGCACAGGAGCCGTGCCCGAGGGGTGTTGCTTCCCCGGTCGGATGTAACTCCTGCGGCTTTGGAGGAAGCTGCCGGAGCCCTCCTTGTGCAGGGTCGAGCGCTGCCCTTCCTGCCTGTGGGGGCCTTGCTTCACATCCCACTCCATGGGGGCTCCCAACCCAGTCCCCCTCAGAGCCAGAGGGGGTGCCGTGACCCTGGCTCGTTCCCAATGGAGCCGCTGGTGCCAGAGCCTGGGGAATGAGGGTCCCAGAGCCCCTCAGTGGTGCCCAGGGCAGAGGGAGAGCAGCTCCTTGCAGCGTCCCCCTGCAGCCCCCTCCCCTCCCCCTGCTGCAGATAACGGGGTTTGTTATCAGCACCACGGGCTCGTTATCAGCCCAGCTCTGGCCACTGATCCACTGCCATTGGCCACCACAAACCCCGCCAGGGGGACTCCTTCCCCAGCACTGGGACCACTGGGATGGCACTGAGGGCAATCAGGTCAGTGAGGGAGTGACTTGGACCCTCAGTCCTCCAGCTTTTGAGAAGGGATACCTGAGTGGGGGCTGGAAATGGAGGCGTGTTCCAATGGGACAGAGATAGCTAGGATTGTTATTAATAGCCATTAATAACACGGCTCAGTAACGGTGCTGCTCATTAATGGGGTTCTGGCCACAGCAGGAGCAGCCTGGGCAGCCTCTCTGTGATCCCAGGGGCGGCTCCTCTGCGGCGCTGGGGTTTCCCCGTTAATGCCGCTAATTAGCATTAATTAGCCTACACTGGGGAGAGGGGGGGTTCTGCCCCTTCTTTAATCGAAGTTGGCATTTTAACCAGAACCGGGACACCCTCAGGGTTCTGCTGCCAGTTGTAGAAGCTTTTGGGTTTAATTCCTCCCTGCCTCCAATCTGGCTGTCCCAGCACTGGATATGGGATCGTTCCTTATCTCCAGCCTGATTAAGCCCTGTCTTGTTCTCCCTGCTGACGCTGTGGGCCCTCTCAGTGTCTGGTTCAGTGCCTGCCATGTCCCTACCTCTGGGGCCCCCCAACCCACATCCCTGTTTAGCAGCCCCTTTACCCCCTGAGACCACTCTGTCTCGGTTTGGAGACTCCTGTGAGCTCCCCCCTCTTTCAGACACTGAATTCCCCCCCAAACCCCTCCTTTACACCCCTTTGCTGGGAGAAGGGCTCCACTGTGCCTGCAAGGGGTTGGGGGTCTCTGTGTCCCCCCCAGCCTCCATCCCTGCACTCGGGTGTTAAACCTGCCCCTTCCACAGCCTGTCCCGTGTTCAATCTGCCCTCAGCCCAGCTCAGACCCCCCTCAGCCCAGGCTCCAGCCCAGACCCCACAGCGTGTCCCCAGGACACTCAGGGCTCTTCAGACTTCATTCACTCTGCAAAGTCCTGCTTGGCTTCTCCGGTGCTTTTCCCCAAAGCTGGAATTGTGTTCAGTCCCAGTGGGACATCTGCAGCGCACAGCCCCGCCACCAGAGGGCCCCCCCTCCTGACCCTGTCCCCCCAGTATTTATTTGTGGGTCGGGGGGATGTCTGTTCTCTCTTGGCTAAGCCGAAGGCGCTGCTGCATCCGGCTCCGTGACTGACCTGCGGAGCTGGGATGCACTGGGAGCTCCACTGGCAGCTGGTCCTGTGGCAGCCATTGCCCTAAAATGGGCTTTTTGCAGTATGGGTGGTCCCAGAGCCTTCCCCACCCCACCCCAGATTTTTGATAAATGCCTAAAAAAGTCTCCCTGGCATGTTTTGCTCAAAATGGGGCCCCAGCACTGGGGGACCCCCCGGAGCCACCACTGTGTGCACAGTGCAGCAAACCTGGGAGCAAAACGGGGAATCCTGAGTGCCAAATGCAAAATGCCAAATGCATCTCCCCTCCTCCAGTGCGACTCCACCCAGTGTGAACCCCCCCCAGTGTGACCCCCTGCCACCAAGTGCCCGATGTGACACCGCCTGTGCGAAATGCAACCCCAGCGTGTGACACCCCAGCGCCGAATGCGGCGCCCTGAACTGAAACCCCAAATGCTGGCAGAACCCTCAGGCCCCCCCCGGCCCTGAGCCCCCCCAACGCTGCTGCCCTGATCCCAGCACCAAAGCCCATCTTGGTGGGCGGCCAGACCCCCCGGGTGTGGCAGGGGACGGGGTTATCTCGGGGGTCGGCGCATTGACACGCGGGTGAGAGCTCGGTAAAACCCCCCGGGAAGGAGCCAGATGGAGGTGGGGGGAGCTGTGAAGTTTCCCACGGGGGCTCCCCCCCAGCCATCCGTCGCTCCTGCCCTGTCCTGTCCGTCCCATCCAGGAGGAGGGCGGGGAGGAGGAGGAAGGGGAGGTAACTCGGTGGGATTTGCAGGGTGGCTCAGGGGCTGGAGGAGCGGGTGAGCCCGGGATGAGCTGAGCTGAGCTGAGCCCAGCCCAGCGCCGGGATGGAGGAGGCAGCGGACGCCTACGCCTACAGTGACAACGAGACATACTGCGAGTACACGGAGTGGGGCCCCTCGCTGGCCCTGCTGCCCACCATCTACCTGCTGGTCTTCCTGCTGGGCACCGCTGGCAACGGGCTGGTCCTCTGGACCATCTTCAAGGGTGGCCGCGACCGCCGGCGCTCCGCCGACACCTTCATCGCCAACCTGGCGGCCGCTGACCTCACCTTCGTGGTCACCCTGCCCCTCTGGGCCGCCTACACCTGGCTGGGCTACCACTGGCCCTTCGGCACGGCCGCCTGCAAGGTCAGCAGTTACCTGGTCTTTGTCAACATGTACGCCAGCGTCTTCTGCCTGACGGGGCTGAGCTTCGACCGCTACCTGGCCATCGTCCGGCCCCTGGCCACCGCCAAGCTGCGCTTGCGGGTCAGTGGGCTGGTGGCCACCGTGGCCCTGTGGTCTCTGGCGGCCCTGCTGGCCCTGCCGGCCCTGGTGCTGCGGCGGGCGGCCGCCCTCGGCGAGGATCCCAGGATCACCTGCTACATGGACTACACGGACCTGGAGGCCCTGGGGTCGGAGGGCGCCTGGGAGGTGGGGCTGGGGCTCTCCTCCACCGCCGTGGGGTTCGTGGCCCCCTTCGCCGTCATGCTCACCTGCTACTTCTTCATCGCCCGCACCGTGGCCACTCACTTTCGCCGGGAGCGGGCCGAGGGGCTCCGCAAGCGCAAGCGCCTCCTCACCATCATCACGGTGCTGGTGGCCACCTTCGGGGGCTGCTGGCTGCCCTTCCACCTGGTCAAGAC